AACTCTAGGTATTCACAAAATAAAGCTATTAAGCTGCTCAGAACTATTCGAGCTCGAATTTCGATAAAAAGTTAGCACCCCATTTTTTTAAAATTATTTAAAAATTGTTATTAAGGGAATCTCGAGTTAAAAAGTACAGAGAACTCTTCGTATCGTTGAAAGGAAGCAGGAACTCTATTCAAAACTATTGTATCTAAAAATTGATTTTTCAAAAATTTTATATTTTTTTGGGATTTTTCAAAAATTTTTTTTATGTATCAGGAACTCTAGGTATTCATGATATGAAGCTATTGGGCCGCTCAGAATTATTGGATCTCGATTTTCGATGAGAAGTTAACACCCCATTTTTTAAAAATTGTTTAAAAATACTTATTAAACGGAACTCTTGTTATAAATTATATAGAACTCTTTGTCTCGTCAAAAAGAAACGGGAACTCTAATCAGAACTCCTGAGTACCATAGTTGGGGTGCTAACTTCACATACCCGCATATTTCTCCATATTGAAGCAGAAAATTAAAACCTTCCGCAAATGATGAGAATTTGGCTCGTAAACTGACATTTTCAATCGAGATAACTTTATGATGCAGACACAAATCGACTAATGTTTCTATGGGGTTATGTTGACAGATGCCCAAGTTTATTGTATAACGTCTATTTATTTCGACCACCACTTACCGCTAAAGCCATTTATAGGAAAACGGCGGAAGCAAAGTTGTACACCTAATAATTATTTTCAAATATTATTTTTATTATAACCTTTATCATTGTTATTATTATAATATTATCATTTAAATATGAATATAAAGTTTAAAATGTTATTACTAATAACAAGAACTTAACAAAAATTCGTGAAATCAACCGGAAAAGACATTAAAAATGTAAAAAAAAATGTCAAATATATTTTGCAATATCTTTACATCAAATCATTTTGTAAATATATGAAAATGATAATGAAAATAATACTTAACAAAAATTCGTAAAATCTACCGGAAGACATTAAAAATATAAAAAAAAGGCGTCAAGTATATTTTGCAGAAAAAAGATATCAAAGATAATGCCATAAAAAAAGAAGTGAAATCAAAATAATATATTTCAAGTATCTCTATTTAAAAAGTCCTATAGAACACATTTCTCCGAGTAGCATCTTGAAAACATCCTTACGATGTAGGCGTCCTTTGGGTACCTTCAAGACAATGTTGTGTGGAATAATTTTTTTCTCATAATTATAATATAATACTACACGGATGACATTTGAAGTGTATTAAGTATAACAACACATTAAAACAAGAGAATGAAATGCAATAGACAGCGTAGTAAGAGGAGTAGAAACTGAAAAGGGATTTTTATATCGATAACAAGTAGAAAATTGTAGAGATAAAAAATCGAAAATGAGCAAAATCTCCAGCAGCATAACACTCTCTTAAAGATGTCCAAAGGATACCTACATCGTAAGGATGCCTTCAAGATATTGCTCGGAGAACTGTGTTCTATTTTTAAATAGAGATATTTGAAATATTTTGATTTCACTCTTTTTTTATAGCATTATCTTTGGTATCTTTTTTCTGCAAAATATACTTGACGCCTTTTTTTACATTTTTAATGTCTTTTCCGGTAGATTTCATCTTATATTCAAGACTGTCTTAAGTACGGTCTTAAGAAGTCACGAACCAATCAAAGACCGGTATTCATAGTCAGATCTTATATTCAAGACCGTCTTAAGTACGGTCTTAAGAAGTCATGAACCAATCAGAGGGCTGCATTAGCGTCTTAAGGC